TCAAGTTTGAAGATTTTCAGAGATTGAGAACAAGACTTGGACTGAAGAATTAAGGGAGAGATTTGTGAGGTCCACACCTCACCAACCAAAAGAAGAAGATTGAAAAAATTGGACAAAATAGGCTGATTGAATGCATATGGGCGGCTGAAAATTTCAATTTGCAATTTGCAATGCAATAAGTCAAATTTGTGTTGCTAAGTGGTTGGCAAATTTGCCTATAAATAAAGATGATTCCCTCTCAGTTAAGACACACCAAAATAAAGAGAGAAGCAACATATAGTTAGTGAGAGTAATCCACAGATTATTGTCTGTGAGATAATTAGTGAGTGGTAGTAATATTGTAGTGAGGTATTTTAAATAAAGAGTGTTATTTCTTCCAAAGCTGTAGTAGTCTCTTGACACTACTGAGTTGTAATATTATAGTGGTAATATTGCTTCACTCGGGTATTGTATTTTATCCTGCTAAAATATTTGGTGTCATTGTTACTCTCTTGTGTTATTATTATTTGCTGTGGATATTATTCCTGGGCGAGATTATTTTTTATGCCAACAGTTAGCAACCAACCCTATCACTTCATTAAAATGTGTTAAAGCCTTAGGTACTGCTTTCTTTTTTTTCTTTGCAGAAGATCATTAGATTATCAGCAAAGATGAGGTGGGTGAGTTTCAGAGTTCTGCACATAGGGTGGAACTTAAAATCTGGCAAGTTACTCATACACTTCAACACCCATGATAGATATTTCATTACCAATACAAATAGCAGTGGAGATAGAGGATCTCTTTGCCTCAACCCTCTCTTCCATGGGAAGTAACCATAGCCCCCTCCATTCACTTTAACTTTGTATTTGGGTGAGGATACACAGGCCATTATCAATTGAGTGAATTTCTGTAGAAATCCATAACCATTCAAAGCTTCCTCCACAAACTCCCAGCTTACCATATTATAGGCATTTTTTAAATCTATCTTACTAAGGCACCTAGGTAAATTTTTCCTACTATAGTGCCTCATCAAGTCATGACAAATTAGGACGTTGTGAACCTTGGACAAAAACAGTTTGATTATCAGCAACAATGATCCATATTGGCTTTTTCAGCCTGCTACATAGTATCTTTGATATGCATTTGTAGTTCACATTACAACAAGATATTGGCATGCATTGGCTAGCATGTTCAGGCCCCTCATCTTTAGGAATCAATGCAATATTAGTAGCATTTAGCTGTTGTAGTACCTCTCCAGTATGAAAAACTTCAAGAACTGCCTCTGTGACACTCTTACCAACAATGTCACATGCTACTTTAAAAAAGCCACTTCCATATTTATCAGGTCCCGGACTTATTGCTATCTATTTTAAAAATTGCAGACTTCACCTCCTTCTCTGAAACTGGGTGGAGCAATCTCAATTGGTGTTCCACTGATAGAACTGTTCCATTCCTACTTTATTCCCCAACAGATCCTCATAGAAATCAACACAATTTTTAGCAATTGATTCCTTATCCATATTTGTCTTTCAGCTGAGTGATTACATGCCTTAGTCTCCTATGCTTGATGACAGAGTAGAAGTACCTTGTATTATCATCTCCCAACCTTGCATTACTCCTCTGTTGCAAGAAAATTTCTGCTAGATAGGAAGACTGTCTAAATTTTTGGTATAATTCTCTCCTTTTTCTGCAACTCAGTATTCATGGGATCATTCTGCAGCTGGTCTTGTATTCCTTCCAATGCTTCTCTATCTATAGTTGCATCTGATAGTATGTTCCTAAAGTGTTGAGAGTTTAACTCCCTTAAGGAGTTTTAATTTCTGTACCACTTGAAACATTATTTTACATCCTCCTATTTCCATATCCAATATGCTTTTGACTTTCTCTTTAAAATTGGGGTGCTTTGAACAAATATTGCAATATTGAAGTGAGTTCCTAATCCTTGTAGTTGCCTCCTCTATTTCAATGATAGCGGTCATTGATCCCCTATGCTAGATACTTATTACTACTTGGTGGCATTGCATCTAGCCATTCTTGGTTGATGAATGCCCAATCTATTTTGGAGAAGATTCTCTCCCCTTCATATTTATCATTCCAGGTGTATCTTTGCCCTTTATTTGGCAGTTCCAATAGCTCATATGTAGCTATGGAACTCAATCACCTCAGCCAGTGTAACTGGTACTCCACCAGACCTATCATCTATTCTTAGCACAGAGTTAAAATCCCCTAATAACAACCATAGCACAGACACTGTTCCATAGCTCTCTTCTGCCTTCACTTGTATTGTAGGCATAAACAAATGATATACCAATAACTCCACTTGCAGTGGGATACCTGTGTTGTACTTACAGTTGGTGGCACACTAATATAATCTCATCTCCAAACATTGTGTTTGCTATTTGATTAATCCTGTTACATTTAAATTTGTTTCAACAAGACCAATCAATCTTATCTTTTCCTTATTGCAAAGGAGTGTTACCTCCTTTTACTTGTTAGGAGCATTCCAACCGAGTAATTTAATCATGTCCAGAGAGAGGTATTGATTGACCTCCCTCATTTCCCACAACCTTCTTTTTGCCTGCTTTCATTTATTCTTCGTTATCAAGTACTAGAAATGCATTTGTGCCATTGTTTCTTGTTGTTGCTTTTGGTTTGCAGTTATAACAATTTCAGGATTAATACACCATACCAAACAGTCAACAAGAAATAATATCAGGATACAAGCACAACTAATTTCAGTATAACTAATCCTAAAATAAATTATTCGTGAAATTGATAATTTCAAGATTAATACAGCATATCAAATAGTTAATAAAAAATAATATAACTAATACAGTATAACTAATCTCACCGTAACTTTTTTTCAAATCCAACGGCACATTACAGTTTAAGTAATTGATCGTAGAAAACATGAGAGTATAATATAATTCCGCAAGTTCATCACTTTGAAAACAAGAACTACTCAATCCTTGTTGACTTCGATATTAGTACTATATTAGTAAAGCATGTGGTCACGATTATTATGCAAGAATTAATCATATGAAAATAAATACCATTTGATATTCTAATTACACATGGCGTATTTTCTAATCAAACAACGTGGCATGCAGTTAGAGAACAAGGTGATTAGAAAATTCATGATCTCCCAGTTTTAATTTATTAATTAACTAGTTCTTTGGTTGATAGCCTTGTAATCACAATCGCATAGGATAAAACGCCACGATCTCAGGGCTATGAGTAAGCCGAGAGATTGCTTCTGATGATTATAATTATGTATGAAGATTAATTAAGGCAATAATTGTAGGTGTATTTCTTTAAGTAATTGCAGGTTTAGAGCAAAAATAACTTTTAACACTTCTACAAATCTTTTAAAAGGTGGTGAGATTCAGTTGATGAGACTGCATACAGAATGGAATAGCCGCGACATAAAGTTGCTTATCTTAATTGGATCCAACAACTATCAATTTTTAATTTCATTATGATTTGGTTGTCAAATGCTAAAATCATTACTACTCCCTCCGTTTCAGTTTTGTGACCCTATTTTCTTTTTGGTCCGTTTCAAAAAGAATGACTCATTTTTAAATTTGGAAACAATTTAGCTTAAACTTGTAATTCTATCATTAATGAAAAGCTTTTATAACCACACAAATACTCTTGGCCCCTTTTTGACTTGTTCAGGACCACAAATTCCAAAAGCCTTTATTTTTACTAAACTCTGCGCCCGGTCAAATAGGTTCACATAAATTGAAACGGATGAATTATTTATAGTAAAAATCATTAAAAATGGAAATAATAGCGTTTGATTGAAAAACTTCAAAAATTGAGTTTTCCGAAAAAGGAAAAATCAAATTAACAAAATTTGTGTTTGTTAGTACTGTGTCTGCAACAAAAAAAAATACTTTTTCAAAATTAGCTTTTGATTACTTTGGCCCCGTTTGGCCATACATTTTGGCAAAGTTTTTTCAAATCCATTTTAAAAACATTGTTTGTTCATATATTAATGATTTATTTTTGAAAAATTTCTGAAATTATTTTTCAAGTTCCCAAAATCTAGTTTAGGGTAGATTTTGGGTGAAATTTGTTCTCACACTCACAAAACTTCAAAAAAATTTCAAATAAAATGCATGTCCAAACATAATTTCAACTTCCAAAAATTATTTTTCAAAACTACTTCAAAAATTATTTTTTCAAGTTTCAACTAAATCTATGTCCAAACGCTAACTTAATTTATTGCAAAAACTCTAGACTGGTCACTGGTCCAAGGGATTTTTTTATATATATATTTTGCTGCAGAAAAGCTAAGATTGAGTTAAAAAATTTAACCTTTTCCTTTGCATAATCAGCAAAAAGAATCAAGAGTTTACAAAGTTGGAGAACATTTTGCAAGCTCAAGTTTTGACTTTTTTAAAAGTGATCAAACTTGATAATGTTGAGGTTTTAGAGTATCAGTAGTACGAGTTAAATATGAAAATACTACTCCTATTTCATATTTTATTTATAACTCCTTAACCGTAGCGAAAAAAAATTCAAAGCTCAACTAAATCATTAAAAAGATCCTGAAAATATCTAAGATAGTAACACCCATGTTTTTCCATACCCAACATGCTAGTTAGGTTGTTATAATTTGGACAAAATCTAAATCTGAACTAAATCTGAATTTCAGAGAATTAAATAAATATAAAAAACATTAAACATTAATCTTGAGTTTTGCCCACACACAGAAGCATCCCCACACAGCTGGAGGACATAAAATTAGTCAGATTGATTATTAGAACGGTATAGAAAAGATTAGCATGCTAAGGATGACGGACACAAATCGACAAATGGTCCAAATTTTTGAAATAAAAAAAAAGTCACATGTGATTTAATATAGCCACACAGCTGTATTCCTCTGAATTACAGTTACAACAGTTATTGTTAGCTGTCACATCAGCATTCTAATCTGCCATAGTATCATTTATAAATACAACAGTATCATTAATTTCTCCATTTAATTGTATCTCCATATTTTCTTTCCTTCTTATTTAAGCTTAGTAATCTCGAAACCCACAATTCCCTAAACTAAGATTAATTTCCTCCAATTTATAAGCTTCTATCATCTTCCTAATTGGTTTTTATTTTCTTTTACTAGATGAAACCTCCAACAAAACCAGTTTGTCACCATTTCTTCAAACCGTCATCTCTTAATTTTCATTTCAACTTTCTCAAGTATGAAGAAAATGCTTCACTCTATACACTCATTTCTTATTTTTCCACTTCACAATCATACAACTCCGAAACGAAGAATTTCGTTAAGGAGTTGAATGGCGATATTACTTCATGTCCAAACTTACTCCGAAAGAAAAAATCTAAGTTTGCTCACTTTCTTGGTTCATCTAACGACAATTACTTAAATACGTTCGTATCACCAGAAAAGCAATTAACAGGTCGTAATGCGAATACCAATAGCAATATTTCAGCTGAACCACCAGTTGAAGGCTCAACTGGTTCATCGATTCGAGAACCAAATAGTTTATTGTTGTTTATGCATCATTCGCCTGTGAAAAACGCAATGTGGGAAGCGAGATCGAGTATTTTTGGAAGGCCATCAATATCTGCAGTTGCTCAGTCTCTTCAAAATGATTTGATTGCTAAAACACCGTTGAGGAGTAGGACTAGTGTTTTATTCAAATTTTCTTCTGATTATGAACTTCGGGAGCGATATAGAAATCCCAGGAATGAGATTAGGATTGGAAAATTGGTAGAAGACCTGGATGCTTTGGCCGCAACCATTTCCTATAAGGTATAGTTATGCTTCTTATAATTCATTCATGTATTCTATTTGTTAGCGGAAACGTAAAAGAAAGAACACAAGATTTAACGTGGTTCGGATCAAAATAATCATACGTCCACGAGAGAACAGTTGTCTTTTTAATATTAACAAAGGAAGGGGAGAGTTCCCAATTACACTTGAGAGAATTTCTCTCTTAACTCTCTACTCACTACAATGTGTTGTATTATTTTTGGGATGGTTTCTACAAATGAAGGAGTGCATCTATTTATAGAGGTAAAGACCTCCTCTTGATGTCATTGGTGACATCAAACTACCTCCTCTTGATGTCATGGGTGACATCAAAGGAGGAAGCTTCCTCCTAGCATCCACACCAACTCTTTCCACCAACTCTTCCAATTGGCATGCCATTGTTGACTAAACATAAACCAACACCTTCAATCTCCACCTTGGTTTGCGTTTCGAGCGTGCGTGTGAACAACTCTGGCCAAAACTTCTAAGCTTACTGGGCAACCCCGTTGTAAGAAACAAGAAGAATCAAACCATTGTTGAACATACCACCTCCACCTAACAACTGTTCTCTTCGGAGTTGCATCAGTTGATGCACACCCCCGCCAAGTCCTTGCAGTGTGCAAACTTAGCGAGTGGGACTATCTTGGTCAACATATCTGCAGCATTATCGTCTGTGATAACCTTCATGACCTTGATAGTTCCCTCTTCAACAACATCTCGAATAAAATGAAATCTGACATCAATGTGTTTAGTGCGCTCATGAAATCTCTGATTTTTCATTAGATGAATAGCACTCTGACTATCACATCTAAGAGTTGATTCCAGCTGAACCAAACTCAATTCCGCTACTAAACCTTTCAACCAGATAGCTTCCTTCACCGCCTCCGCTGCTGCCACATATTCTGCTTCTGTCGTAGACAAAGCGGCAATCGACTGCAGAGTCGACTTCCAACTAACGGCACTGCCAACGAGGGTAAAGATGTATCCAGTTGTGGACCTTCTTCTGTCAAGATCTCCTGCATAGTCAGAATCTACATAACCGAAAATTGAAATACCTCCACCACTTTTTCGAAAGGTCAAACCAACACCAGAAGCTCCTTTGAGATATCTCAATATCCACTTGACAACTTCTCAATGCCTCTTTCCTGGGTTGGACATGTATTTACTTACCACACTTACAGATTGAGCAATATCTGGATGTGTGCACACCATAGCATACATAATGCTACCAACTGCACTGGCATAAGGAATCTTTGACATATGCTCCACCTCATCCTCGGACTGAGGCATTTGTAACTCTGAAAGTTTAAAATGAGGAGCTAATGGTGTACTTACAGGCTTGCACGTATGCATATTGAATCTCTTGAGAACCCTTTCAATATACCTCTTCTGAGAAAGATGTACAACACCGTCTTCTCTTGAAATCTCCATACCAAGGATTTTCTTTGCAGCTCCTAAATCCTTCATGTCAAATTCCTTACTCAACAGTTTCTTCAAAGCATTTATCTCTGTAATGTTGTTAGCAGCAATAAGCATATCATCAACATACAACAGTAAATAAATCATTGAGTTACCAGACATCTTCTTGTGATACACACAACTATCAAATGCACTCCTTGAGAATTCATGTGTAGTCATGAATGCATCAAACCTCTTGTACCACTGTCTAGGGGATTGCTTCAAACCATACAAAGACTTCTTTAGTTGGCATACGTGATCTTCTTTTCCCTCAGCTAGGAAACCTTCAGGTTGATCCATATAGATTGTCTCTTCTAGATCACCGTGTAAGAAAGCAGTTTTGACATCAAGCTGTTGAAGCTCCAAGTCAAATTGTGCAACCAATGCTAGTAGCACGCGAATTGAGCTATGCTTCACGACCGGAGAGAAAATCTCATTGTAGTCAATTCCCTCCTTTTGGCTGAAACCTTTTGCAACCAATCTCGCCTTGAACCTAGCATCTTCCACTTCAGGAATTCCCTCTTTCTTTCGGTAGACCCACTTGCATCCAACTGTCCTCTTCCCCTTTTGTCTTTTCACTAAGACCCATGTCTGATTCTTGTGAAGAGACTCCATCTCTTCAGTCATGGCTAACCGCCATTGTACAGCATCCTTGCAAGAAGTTGCTTCAATATACGAGGAGGGCTCCAGATCCTTAATCTCTTCTTGTGCAGCTACGAACGCATATGCAATCAAGTTTGCTTGATCCATAAGGCATTCCGGTTCTCGTGTTTGCCTCTTCTCCCTCCTCTTTGCAATTGTGTATGGTTCATTGACATCAAGTTCTTCAAGGTCTACATCTTCTGACTTATCTCTAACCCGAGTCTCTTGATCCTTTTCCTTGGCAAGCTCCACCGGAAGCTCCACCTGCTCGTCGTTCTTGTTTCCTGAAAACTCCACGGAAACTTTACGGGGATCAAGTATAGAGGATTCATCAAAGGTGACATCTGTACGAACTATAAATTTGAGTAAAGACAAACACCAAAGTTTGTACCCTTTTACTCCATCCACATACCCTACGAATATGACCTTCTTAGCCCTTGGTTCAAGCTTTTCTTCATTAACGTGATAGTAAGCTGGACACCCAAATACTCATAAGTATGAATAGTTAGAGGGTTCACCTGACCATACCTCATTCAGAGTCTTAAAGTCAATTGCCGATGCTGGAGATCGATTGACAATATGAGCAGCAGTGTGAACTGCTTCAGCCCAAAATACTTTGGATATTTTGGCTTGTAGGAGCATAAAACGAGCCTTTTCAAGAAGAATTCTATTCATTCTCTCGGCAACTCCATTCTGCTGTGGGGTATGCCTGACAGTCCTATGTCTTGAGATCCCATGAACCTTGCAGAATTCATTAAACTCTTCATTGCAAAACTCCAAGCCATTGTCTGTGCGAAGATATTTGATTTTCTGCTCCATTTGATTTTCAACCAAAATCTTCCACTCTTTAAATGCTTCAAAAGCGTCACTTTTTGCCTTCAAAAAATGCACCCAAACATTTCGTGAGAAATCATCAATAAAAGTGAGAAGATACCTCTTTTTGCCTTTCGATGGAACTTTAGAGGGACCCCATAAATCTGAATGGATGTAGTCTAGCACTCCTCTTGTCTTGTGTTTGCCAGTGCTGAAGCTGACCTTCTTTTGCTTCCCTAGAACGCAATGCTCACAGAAGTCAAGTGTGCTGATCTTCNTTGATCTTCTCATCTTCCAAAAGGTTACGATTGCTCAACATCTCCAGTCCACGTGCGCTCATATGACCCAGGCTCATGTGCCATAGTCTTGCCTTGTCATCATTAGATAACTGCACTGTAGATGCATTTGTAGAGCCAACAATGGTGCTTCCGGCCAATGTGTAAAGGCCGTTCTCCAGCTTGCCTTTCAGCATGACTAAAGAACCTTTAGTCACCTTTATAGTTCCTGCTTCGCTCATGTACCTGTAGCCTTGTTCATCCAGAGTACTCAGGGAGATCAAATTCTTCTTCAGATCAGGAACATGACGGACTTGTGTAATAGTCCTCACGACTCCATCATGGCAGCGAACCCGAATTGAGCCAATGCCAACTATTGCACAAGTTGCATTATTGCCCATTACTACGGTTCCTCCACTTTTCTCATAGCTGCTAAACCAGTCTTTTCGGAACGTCATATGCAGAGTGCAAGCCGAGTCTAACACCCATTTGTTTCGATAATTACTATTATTATTACACGATATTGTTAGTACACAATCATTATCAAAATCATGTACCTGTTCAACTGTGGATGCACTCGCCTTTTTCTTGGACTTTGACATTGGGCAGTCTCGTTCAAAGTGCCCCTTCTTGCCACAACCCCAATACACTGTATTCTTCTTGTTCACACGATACTTTGATCTGTGCTTTGATTTGCTCTTTCCCTGTTGGCTAGTCTGGCCTCTCACAAAGAGCCCACTTGCCTGGTCATCTCTATCTCTTTCAATGTGCCTCCGCACATCACTAGAGTTAAGTGTCTGCCGCACTAGCTCAAGCTTGATAGGCTCCTTGCTATACATCATTGAATTCTCAATATCACGATATCCTGAAGTCAATGAAAATAGCAAAGCACATGCAAGCGTCTCCTCCTCCTTTTTAATTCCTGCAATCTGTAAGTCCATGACAAGTTTATTGAACGCATCTAAATGATCTTGTAACGAAGTACCTGACCCCATCTTAAATGTGTGAAGACGCCGTTGTAACAACATTCTTGTTGTCACTGATCGGTCTTGGTATAGCCCTTCTAGCTTTTCCCACAACTGTTTGGCCGTCTCTTCGGTACCCGTACTCACTTCACAAAGCACGTTAGGTGCAAGGGATAGTTGGATTGCACTCAATGCATCCCCTTCAATCTTCTCCTTGTCGGGAGTTGATATATCCTTAGGATACTTTCCGTCAATAGCATGGATTGAACCTTCCCTCCGCAGTAACGCCATCATCTGGATCTTCCAGATATTGAAGTTGTTGCGTCCACTGAATCTATCAATTTCAAACTTCATGGAACTCATCTTTGCTTGTTCTTCCTCCTTGGATCGTTAAAGAATCATGTTGCTCTGATACCAATTGTTAGCGGAAACGTAAAAGAAAGAACACAAGATTTAACGTGGTTCAGATCAAAATAATCCTACGTCCACCAGAGAACAGTTGCCTTTTTAATATTAACAAAGGAAGGGGAGAGTTCCCAATTACACTTAAGAGAATTTCTCTCTTAACTCTCTACTCACTACAATGTGTTGTATTATTTTTGGGATGGTTTCTACAAATGAAGGAGTGCATCTATTTATAGAGGTAAAGACCTCCTCTTGATGTCATTGGTGACATCAAACTACCTCCTCTTGATGTCATGGGTGACATCAAAGGAGGAAGCTTTCTCCTAGCATCCACACCAACTCTTTCCACCAACTCTTCCAATTGGCATGTCATTGTTGACTAAATATAAACCAATATCGTCACTATTCCTATCATTTTTATAGACACGTCGATTAAGAAAGCAAGAGAAACTTTTATCAAAAATACATTTTGAAGTTGTGGTATTAAATATTTTATGATATTTCTATGTCTGTAAAAATATACCTCTTGGGAGTCGAACAAACTTTTCTTTGACTATGTTTTATGCAAATACTCTTTAATTATTTTGAATTGTTTAGTGTTGTGACTTATAGTTCCTTTTATGTAATTTTATTTTTAAATGATGAAAATTCTTTCTTCGAATTTTATTTTGAGCTAGGGTCTATTGGAAACAGTATCTCTACCTCCACAATATAGGGGTAAGGTTTGTATACACACTACCCTCCCTAGACCCATTATGTGGGATTACACCAAGTATATTGTTGATGTTGTCTATCTCCAAATTCACAATGAAAAATTAATCAATTTGACCCTCGTACTACGAAAAGATTCACATAAATTAAAACAAAAGAAGTATTGACTTATAATATTAAATGATAAATTAGGTAATTAGAGTATACTTACCTCATCCTTGACCATAAAAGGACAGCCCGATGCACGAAGTATTTCGCATTCACGTAGGGTCGAGGGAAGGGCCACACCTCAAGGAGTCAGATAAAGGCAGCCTACCCTGATCTAAGGATTAGTGGTTGATTCCATGATTCGAACCCCGTGATCTATAAGTCACACCGATACAAATTTACCAATGCTCCCCTTCTACCTCATCCTTGACCATATTGCTGTTTATTTTCTTTAATTTAATGCACTAAGAAATTAAATGCCCTGTTTCTGAAGTATCGTACTCATGATATTCTGTCTCTTTTTTGCAAAACAGCATTGTTCCTCTAATGATGGAAGCGCTAGGTCCATAAAACTGGTGACTGCATCTATGGAGAAGATGATTCTGAAAAGATCTATTCGTATTGACACTGATCTCACTATAGAAGGGGCTGTTATATGGGTTGGATCTTCATCTTTGGAAATTCAACTTGAAGTGATACAATCTACACCAGGTACCTTTGCATAACCCACAATTTTCTCCTTGTAATTATGTTTTCAATACGTTTCCTCAGGCAGAGGTGATTCTAGAATTTTAAGTTTATGGGTTCCAACAACGATCTCAAGTTAATATACATGATAACTGGACCAAAGTACTGGGTTCCAAGCCAAATATTCTTATACTTTTAATGAGTTTTTAGTACAAATACAAAGTCTATGCAAAGGTTACTGCATTCACGTGAATCTGTAATCTCTACAGTAGATCCGCCCCTGTCCTCAGGTATGAGCTTGATTTTTTTTTTTTCATATACCAAGTGCGTGAAATTTTATATGTCTAATTTGTACAGTAAGACTCGAATTCAAGACTTTCGCGTACTCTTATGAAACCATGTTGAATTGTGTGATCGTGTGATCTAAAATTTTAAAATTGTTAGGGAATTCACACTTTCTATTTACTTAATTATATCTTCAACAGATCATTTTCCTGCAGAAACATGCAATACCACAGAGTCAGTTGCTCTTACAGCAAACTTCACATTTGTGGCCAGAGACCCTATGACTGGAAAATCAGCTCGAATCAACGCGATTTTACCTGAAACTGAAAAAGAAAAACTTCTTTGGAAAGAAGCAGAGGAGAGAAACAAAATGAGAAAGGAGAAAAGAGAACAACAGAAGATGGACACAAATGGAGACAATGGAAATAGGCTGATAAATAAATTGTTGGCTGAAGCTTTGTTAGATAGAGACAGCATTCTAATAAAGGAAACTTGTCTTCAAAATTCTTTGATTTGCCAACCTGAGCAAAGAAACATTCATGGTCAAATATTTGGAGGTTTCCTAATGAGGAAAGCTTTTGAATTGGCTTATGCAACAGCTTATTCATTTGCTGGAAGTACACCTTGCTTTGTGGAAGTTGACTGTGTTGATTTCTTGAAACCTGTAAGTGCATAAATTATTACTTTTTGTATTTGTTTACCGGCCCTCTCCAGATCCCACGGTGTGAGATTATAGTGGATTTGTAGGATACTGATATATAAATAAAATGCTTAAAATTAAGTCTCAAATCTGCTGATGCAGGTAGATGTTGGAGATTTCCTCCAGCTCAAATCATGTGTTTTGTATACAGAACTCGAAAATTCATCTTGGCCTCTGATTAATGTGGAAGTGGTAGCTCATGTTACACAGCCGGAACATCTTTCCAGTGAGGTGAGCATCTTTCCCAGATATGCGGAATTTACTCGTTAATATTCCCTCCGTTTCACTTTATGTGGCAAGGTTCAGCTAATTAATTTATTTATTATTTCTCTGATTCGTTTGACAGGTTTCGAACAATTTCTACTTCACCTTCACCGTTTGCTCGGATTCACTAAAAAATGGTTTAAAAATTAGGAATGTTGTCCCTGGTACAGAGGAGGAAGCACGGCTTGTTATCGAACATATTGATGTTAACAAGCAGAAGAGATTGAAGGAATGCGTGTAAACAACTGTTTTGCGCCTAAAAGATTTTATACACATATACTTTACAATACAAATGTACATTTATTCGTTATGGGACTTTATTACATTCTGTACACACACAAAAATTCAAGTGAATTTCTAACACTCTCTTATATTGTGGATTCATATTCAGATATACGTACCTAATCTGTTAAATATGTAACCAGTGCAAGAAATTGGAATACAGGAGCAGCCTAAAGGTGTCCATGAGCCGGGCGGGCAGAATATCCGAAAATCAAAATTTTAGGGATGCTATTTAGAGATTAACTTATTTTGTCCTTAAATTTTAAACTAAAAATCTTGACTTCAAAACAATTCCGGACACTTTGTCCTGAAAAATTGAAATTCAAGACGTACTGGCTAATTCCTAAATAGTAGCCTTTTAGAGTGGCTACATGGTGTCAATTCTACTATTAAAGTGCCAAATGATTGAACAATTTAAATTTAATATCTTGTTAAATGTTACCTATTGTATTGTATCGTATTGTTACTTTAAATACAATATTTGTTTTGATTATTACTTAAATTTTATTGTATTGTATTGTTAAATCTATCGTTACGTAGTGATGAAAAATGTCACGTTATATAACTAACAACCGATTTGGTGTGGTGGCATCATTACCTTATTTTTTCCTCTCACCTTGCCATTCTTATTATTAAATAACTCTATTTTATACGTTACCTTACCTTTTTATATAATAATTCTACCTCGTATCTTACTTTTTCTTTGAAATATTGCAAGTTTATTCTTTATAGTGTTAGTGTGAATATTATGAAGTAACATCAAACGATACAATCTATTCAAACATTATATACACAAAACGATATAGTACTATACAATTCAACCATCCAAACAAGCTGTGAATCTGTGGCCAATCTTGTATATGTCCGAGAAAAACAAATTGTCTTTGTACTGGCCAAGTTGCAATATCCAAATATATTTACTAGATCTAGATCCATTTACCTCCCCCTCATCCCATTTTTTTTCAACTAGCCGTTAATCTTTTACTTAACGGTCTGATTGTCAAATAGTATTTAATCCTCACAACTTCAAATTATATGCATTATATTCTTCATACAAATTTTTAGATTCTTCATACACAGATCACAAATTCAAACCAATGGGTCTATCAATCACCACTTCAGATTTTAGAGAAACCGAATCTCACTCTGATCATCATAGAACTCACAAAATATTCCTCTTTACAAATTATATTCTCTTAGGAGCAGCGTCTAGTTGCGTCTTCCTTACTCTCTCCCTCCGGTTAATCCCGTCCCTCTATGGCGGCCTTTTCATTCTCCTCCATGCGCTGACAATCGCCAGTGCAGCGATTGTTGCCTTAGCGAGTTCTAACAAGTGGTACGGTGTCCACATGGTTGCTACAGTTTTAACGGCTATATTTCAAGGCTCTGTTTCGGTCCTTATATTTACAAGGACTTTGGATTTATTAGAAAATTTTAATTCTTATGTTAGAGAAGAAAATGGTGCTGTGATATTGAAATTGGCTGGTGGATTATGCATTTTGATATTTTGCTTGGAATGGGTTGTTCAGTGCCATTTGTCTTAAGGTACAATGCTTTTGTGGTACTTGAAACATTGGCCTTGTCCATACCAAGTCTAAATTCAACTTATTGTACACACGTATTGAATTTATTTTGTTCTTTACTTATGTTTACTCGAGTGCAAATTTGGAGTTGAGCCGATGGAAGCGGGAGTTGAAGTGAGGCTTGACTCTCAAGTCATTCCCAAGAGAGGTAGTTTCAAGTACCTTGGATCGGTTATTCAGGGGATCGGGGAGATTGACGAGGATGTCACACACCGTATAGGGGTGGGGTGGATGAAGTGGAGGTTAGCGTCGGGAGTTTTGTGTGACAAGAAAGTGTCACCGTTACTAAAAGGTAAGTTTTATAGAGCAGTGGTTAGGCCTGCCATGTTGTATGGAACTGAATGTTGGCCGGTAAAGAACTCACACATCCAGAAGATGAAAGTAGCAGAGATGAGGATGTTGAGGTGGATGTGCGGGCATACAAGGATGGATAAGATTAGGAATGAAGATATTCGAGAGAAGGTGGGTGTGGCCCCCATGGAGGACAAGATGCGGGAAGTAAGACTCAGATGGTTCGGGCACATTCAGAGGAGGAGCACTGATGCACCGGTGAGGAGGTGTGAGCGACTGGCTGTAGTGGGCANCAGCACAATAGAGTGAGACTATCCATTTAGGAGTTAGACTAGGAATGTCATTGATCGTCTATTGATTGCAGGGCTTTACCTTCTAGTTGTACTATACCAGCCATCTATTTCGTATTTCGTATTTCATATTCTGTATTTCATATTTCATATCTCTTATATATTGTTGTTATTTTTATTACGCATTTTTATGGTACTAATATATCATCTCCTATTGCTTTTTTGAGCCGAGGGTCTCCTGGAAACAGCCTCTCTACCCTTCGGGGTAGGGGTAAGGTCTGCGTACATATTACCCTCCCCAGACCCCACTTGTGGGATTATACTGGGTCGTTGTTGTTGTTGTTGTTGTTGTTGTTGTTGTTTACTTATGTTTGAGTTCAATGCTCATAAGTTTATGAGTTTTATCTAATCACATTCGTTAACTTATGGTTAGACACATATCTTTCATAAATACATTTCTCATTTAATCATGGTTAAATGGCATGCATTCTCACTTTAAATTTTAACTGTTAAGATTTAATTGTTTAATTTTTGTGTCAACGTCGAGTGTATAGACCTGTATAGTAAAGAGAGGGGTCGCTGACCAAAAAATACAGATCTTGGTTCAAATAATTAAATTTATGTAAATGAAAGTTAATCTTAGTTAACAATAATATCTCTAAGATGGAGTTCTCCAAAGAAGCAACAAATACTATGAAAATATATTCGAATAATGGCGGCAACATGCAATAAATATTCCAGAAATTAAAGGCAATAATGTAGCATTCAATATCAACGAATAGCAACAAATAACAGTTGAGTAAATAAAGCAATGAGTCACCCAAGATTGAATGGAGTAAGTGAATGTTCTTTCTAAAAATGATGACTGATGGAATATCCTTTGAATATTTGAGTTATTCTCGGATCAAGTGGAAAAGTATAGACAAGAATTTCAGTGAAAATGTGATGTTTTTATATTAGCAATGAGATCTGATTCTCTTTCTCAAGTCAAAGTGTATTCTTTAATGTCTTATCTTGAAACTAGTTGTTATAATTCTGTCAAAAGTACTCGACCCTTGTTGACTCCTCGACTTCAGCCTTTGTTGACTCATTATCTACAGACTTTGCCGATTCTTGGGTCATTTCGACAAACGACGACTTGAGAACTCTTCCCCTAGTACTATCATGACTTAAATATTCTAAAGATAGATTTTGATCCATACAATTAGACCCTCCGTTTATTGAGATCGACTTTAGGCGGGTTGGAAGAGCGGGTCTTGTTCTTTGTGGTTAAAACAATCGAGCGAGCTATGCGGGTCGTGATGGTTGCGGCGAATTGGCAGCGTGGCCTTACGTGGGTCGCACATTTCAAATGCATCGATTTTTCCGGGCGATTTACTGGAGTTATGTTATCCATGAGTCATGATGTCATATGTCATTATGATGCATATTCCCGATGCGTTGCTTCGTTTCACGTGTGATCTCTAATTAGACCTTTTCTCTTCGATTCTCGAGCCAGTAATGATGAGCCATTTTTGGTTTTGGTACCAAGACCTTTATAAATAGAGGTATTTGGACGCGATTTTGAAGTTTAAATTTTCTGTTGTTTCGAAATCCCATACTTTTCACTTGCTCTCTTCTTGCTTCGAACTTCTCTTCTCTGTGCAAGTGATTTATATTATTCTTAACTATTCCTCGTTTAACACCTCTCTTTCCCACATCAATCTATGTCTAATGTACCTTCTGAGTCTGGTGAGGGAAGTCGTGTGCCCCCCCTTCCCCCCTCCCCCCCCCCCGACAGTGGCGTTTCCCTCTCATGGGGAAGGTGCTTCTGCCATTGCTGAGGATGAAACATTTCCATTAGTGGAGGAGATGATCCCACATAATCCCGATTCCAGATCCGACGTTACCAAAGTACCGGATGGTGCGCCTCAAACTTTTAAATCACTGATGATGCCCAAAGAATTTGCGGAATTGAAGGTTAAATTTGGCCTCCCTAGCCATGTTGAGTTGATCCCGGCCAAATAGGATGTGGTACAGGTACACCGCCCTGGTACTGCGCCCTCTATTCCTATCCCTTTCTCATCAGCTATTCTCTTCCTTTCCTCTCGCTAGTAGAGGAATTTTGTCGCCACTATAGTGTTTGCCCATATCAGCTTGCACCATATGTCTACAAGATAATAAAGATGTTTACCAAATTCGCCGAGCTAGCGGGGTTGAACAGACACTACGACATTTGATACACCTATTTGCCCCTAGCTTTTACAGGGGAACGATGTTGAACCTTCGCCATCGGGGAGGCAAGTGCTTGTTGGTGAAGATGGACGACAAAGCTAACCATTAGTTTTGGCTTAACTTCTTCTTTATCAGGACCGAGGACATCATGGCCAAGGTCGACGGCTTTCCCGAAGCTTGGAACTACACTCGCGAGTGTCGTATTTCCTTCTATTTTTTTCTTCTAATTTCGAACTTTGATTGATGATGATTTATTTTGTTTTCCCTTTTGTAGCTAACAATCAGCCTCCTTCTCTGGCCCCTTATATTTCTGACTGGGTCGAGCAACTCCTCCCTCACATCGTGGGAATTCGTTATTGGCCAAGTTTCTTCAAGAAATTCGGGCATGCTCTCCCTTCAACTGATAATTTCCTATCTTTGGTCGTGGTCACTCCGTTCTTATTGTATGCAGATTCATTTTGTTGACTTAGTATTGTCTTTTTCTTAGTTAGAGGCTCTCGGAGGAGCCGTGCACCAGTGCCTTCTTTTCGTAGGGCGGTTGCTGCCTTCTCGACTTCGGCTCTTGTTACGGCCACTGCCTCTTCCGTTCTGGTCTTGACCTCGGCTACCGTAACTCGATAGACCATGTCCATTCCTTCTACAGCCTCTGCTCCTACTATTGATTCGCATGAGGATGGTGGTTTGATGCCACGTAAGAGGAGGGCTATGGACGTCGGCAGTGAGAGACCGACAGCCGTCATCATAGGAGATAGTGGCTTTGTCCTTCGGGAAATGTCCACAGTGCATATCGGAGATAGCCAAGAGGCAATTCTTGAGGATCCTTGTTTGGAGGAAACGAGTGTGTGTCCTATGGGGGAACCGACCGAAGGCATGGTAAGCAATTACGACCATGTTCTCTCGAGGCGTGGAGGGGCCTCATCTTCCGGGGTCACATTGGACGTGCCTTCCTCGACTGATGGTAGGGGGAAGGCCGTCATTGATGAGAATATCGGATCTAACTTCGATATGGATGTAGATAAGTTGAGAATGATTGACGAGGGGTTTACTCAACTTGAAGTGAGGTTGGAAAGGGGCTCGAGGACTATATCGATCCCGATGGACCATAACCTTCTTGTGGATACCGAGAAGATTATCCCTTCACTTGTTCCTCTTTGTTCTGAAGTTGAGGGTACGGCCCTCAAGACTATAGATGACAACGCCTTGTATTATAACATTGTCGGCCTCGCCCTTCGGGTAAGTACATTTGCTATCCATTATTTTCCTTAGGTTTTTTTGTAGGTTCTAACTTTATTCATTTTGTGACGGTCGTCCTGGAGATTAAGAATTCTAGTAAGGAGCAGAGATCTTCGGTGTCGGCTCCACAAAATCGGCAATATGCGCCAACTAAGGGACGACTGGAAGGCCAGAGGCGAGGAGCTGGTGCGGATAGTGAGAAAATGCAATGTCTTGGAGGGGATGTTGAGGAGACAAGAGGAAAAGCACAAGCTCAGCAAGGGGGTCGAAGCCCAATGCAGTGATCTTCAAGCTCAGGTGGTCTTGTTGGGAGACCAGCTTGAGGAGTGTCAATTCAGGGCAGAGGCTCTTAGTGGCAAGATCGCCGAGAAGACAGAGGAACTAGAGAAGGAGGGGTACGCTCGATTGGAGGCTTTGAGGAAGGTGGATTCTCTTAAGGTGGTGATTCGGACTCTCCGTTCCGAGCGTGAAAGTGATTTAGCAATGTCAAGGCTCAAAGAAGAGTGGCTCGATTAGAGGATTGAAGAGTTGGAGAAAGAGATCTCTGATCTTTACGATCGAGTAGCAGCTTTGGAGGTTGAGAATGCTAAATTACTTGAATTGCCCTCTTCATCTGCAACTTCCAGCTTTCCTAAAATTCCTTGTGACTTATACGAATAGTGGATTCATGCCGATGCCTGGGTGGATGTGCTTGCGAGCTGCATGTATTGGGCTCTGTTTCTGTTGCAGATTTTGAGGGTGCTCATATCAAAGCTTGCGAGGCTCGAATTACGTATGGTTATGATCCGGTTACTCCTCATACTGGTGAGGAAGATGAGGGCAATGAGGATGGTATGGATTGCCTTGAGGACGAGGCTTGGTATGATTCCATATACCCTTCGGGCGAGGATGGCAAAGGCACTGTAGGTCGAGGTGGCGAGGGAGTTGGTGGTCAGGGTGGCAATCATGTTGAAGATAGAGTTGGCGAGGATGTTGAAGGTCGTAATGGCGGTAACCAGTAGTTTTCTTTTTGACCTTTCGTGTATTTTTGTGGGTGTCTTCACGAGCCTTTTGTAAATAGTTTAAGCATATGA